TACAAATTAGTGTTTTTGCTTTAACTTTATCAACAACAATAGAAATGTTTTGCCTGAAGTTTGAACGTTTTTAAAATATTTCTAACATTCGATATTGATTCAATGCGCTGAATAGAGTGTGGGGTGTTCACGTGACGTCATCAAATTCTCAAATCCAAAACTAAAGAGCCACTGAAGGTTTTGTCAAGATCAGGCATAAAAGGTACTAAATTTATATCTGTGTACAACTTTCCAGCTCAATAGCGTCCTTCGTTTGGAAACAAGCGCATTTTGAATTTCGGAGTTCTGGCGGTGCGTGACATATTCCGTGACATATTCCGTGACATATTCTCTTTTCCGGCCGCCATATTGGAGCATGGCGGCTCCATACCAGGCTCTATATAATTTTGCGCGGAACATTTCCACGAATATCTCAACTTTGAGACAACGCACACACCTTAAACTTTGGAGAACTGCCTTGCTTATTTATTGTCTATAGTATCACCATTTCTTGACTTTATCTACTGAATGGTATTTGATTTTATTTTTTATTGCGTGACAATGAACACACTCTTTATTAATGTGAACATTTATTCAAATAAACGAATTGTCACGTGATCAACTGTAGTTCAAAATGGAAGCCGTTTCACGAGCTATTAAAGTTCAGCTCCCAAACTATCTCAAATCTCTGCCAGTGCCTTCCACATTTGGTGGATTTTTAAAGCTCACGAGGAAGGAGTGGGTGCGGCTTGCACCACTGCTGGTGGCAGAATCGCTGCTGTTGTATCTCGTGATCTCATGGCTGTTGCGCTTATTTTCGAAGCCCGCTGCGAAGAAGGAGGCGCACCCAGACTGGATCAACAAAACACTGCAAAAGGATAAGGAAAAGGTTGCTGACACTATCCAGATTGAGGATTTAGCAGAGAAGGCTGCTTACCATGCTTTCTGTCGTTGCTGGAAGTCGAAGAAGGTAAAACTGGCGTTTTACTAGAAGTTACATAACAATACATTATGTAATGAGTGGTCATTCCTAATCAATCAAACGAAGCAATCAACAAAACGCAGCAAAGGGCAAAGAAAAAGATACTGACTCTATTCAGATTGACGATTTAGCAGAGAAGGCTGCTTATCACGCTTTCTGTCATCGCTGGAAGTCGAAGAAGGTTAAACTTGTATTTTACTAGCAGTTCAACTTACATGTGCTGCGTTTTGAAACGAGGGCCCGGTGGGAGAGGGGTACCCCCTTATATGGGCTCGATAGGTATGTGCGGCCCCAAAGGGTAGGGTTTTTCAGTCGTTTTGGTCATAAATAGGGTATTGATGTTGGCCATTTTGGTCTTAAATAGGGTAT